TGAAAGGAAATGATAAGTATGATCGTAGTGAATGCAAAGTTGAGGAAATTATGATAGAGGTATGATGATAACAATGTCATATAATAGATGATTAAAATGATATTTATGATATTGATATGATGATAACAACAAATAATCATATGTGATAAATGATAAGTTTTATAAACTGATAACATATGATTGAAAATGCTGATAGGTTGACATAATAGATGGATGTTGATTGATAACGATAATAATTAAGTAACAATTAATAAAATTGAATTTTATTGCATGCAAAAATAATTAGTTATCATTAGTAAAAATTGCTAATCTCATAATAAAATATATTTTAAAATATTTTAAATTTTAATTTATTCGATTACAATTACGAATAAATAAAGATTAATAAAATATGGAACATATGTTGTTAATATAAATGATAAACTGATCAATTTGAATTAGTTTAAAAAGCAACGATTAAAAATTAAATATGTAAAGTTGGGAGAAGATTGCAAGCAAAATGCAAATCAAAATTAAATTTCAAATTTAACAGATAAACATTTTTAAACAACATTTAAATGCACTATATAGAATAAGTAAGAGATTAAATGTGTAAACAATTGTTTAAAAATTATTACAGCATTATTTAATATTAGCAATTATTTAAACATTTTTAAAAATATTTAAATTCTGCTTTATCAAATTTAAATTTGCAATTATTACTTATAGCAATCATAAATTATTTGTGTTAATATTAAAAGAAAAATCAAAAAAAGAAAAAAAAAAAATGAAATAATGAAATTTTTTTGATAAAATTTTTAACTAAAAGTCTAAAAATTGATTTTCAAATTAAAATTAAAAATTTTTTTCTTTTAATTTTTTTTTTATTGTATTAATTTTGAAACAATCAATAATTATCATTTGAAATGATATTAATTAACAATTTTGCAAATTATGATAAACTAAACTAAAGCTAAAATGAAATAATGAAAGTTTTTTGATAAAATTTTTAACTAAAAGTTTAAAAATTGATTTTTAAAATCAAATTAAAAGTAATTTTTTTTTTTTAATTTTTTTATTGTATTAATTTTGAAACAATCAATCATTATCATTTGAAATGATATTAATTAACAATTTTGCAAATTATGATAAACTAAACTAAAAAGCAAAAATGAAATAATGAAAGTTTTTTGATAAAATTTTTAACTAAAAGTTTAAAAATTGATTTTTAAAATCAAATTAAAAGTAATTTTTTTTTTTTTAGTTTTTTTGTTGTATTAATTTTGAAACAATCAATCATCATAATATTACTTAAAATTTTTGTAAATTATAATAAACTAAACTAAAATGAAAAGTTAAAAATTGTAATAACCAAATATGCAATTAATCATACATTTAAAAACATAACAAATACAATTTTTTATTTTAAAATTATAATTTCTATGAATTGAAAAGAAGTTAAAAATTTATTTATGAATACAATAAGCGATCAGTAATCAAAATTGATTTTTAGCATTGTTCAAATAAACATTTTATAGCTAAAAACGGCAAATGTCATCGTCAATAATTAGATATTTGTTTCAAAGTTTTAATTACATTTGACAATTTTCTGTTTTTATTTTTTTTTTTTTAGAAGTACAAAATTGAAATTATTTTTTAATTTTTGTGATAATAACAAATTTTAAAACTATTTTTTGCTAATTTTTTAAAAATTTTAAAACTATTTTTTTGTTTTGAATTAAATTCTCCTAAGTTTCAATTTTTTTTTTCAATGAAATTTTAAAGTTTTATTAATTAATGATGATAATAAAGGAAGTAAACGAATGAAAAAAAAATGAATGAAAAAATTTTATTGAAAATTTGAAAATTTTGAAATTATTTATTCAACTAAGAGATGAAAATAATTGCATTTGACTGATAAAAATTTGGTTATTTAAAAGTTTTTGCTCATAGAATTCATTAAAATTCACTAAAATTATTAAAATTAAAAGAATTCACAAAGTATGTAGGCAAATTATTCAGCACTTTTACAACAATTTTAAAAAACATTTATTTTAAAATTTTTCTAAATTTAGAAACAAATTTGAAAAGCATTGTACAATTTTAAAAAGAATTTGTTTAACTTTCAAATTTGTCTTATTTTATTTCAAAGCTTGAAAATGACATTTTCATCAATGTTTACATTCTGTAAATTTTAAAATATTAAATTAAAATTTGATATATATTACTAATTTGACAAAATTATAGGTTAATGAATTTATACTGAACTATCGATAAAAGAAGCTAACGATTAACACTCTCGAATCTGTCAAAATAAGTTTTTGATTTGCACTGCATTCAGATTATAAAACTCTTTTAATAATTATCTTGAAATTAAAAAGTTTTATAAAATTTTATCTGATCTAATTGAAACTGATAAGATTTTTAAGACTGATAAGTGATAAGCTTCTTAAATGATCGATTTAATGATTTATATATCCAATGGTTAAGCTGCTTATCTGGACCTTTTAACTAGAAAAACAAAAAAAAAATATTTTATAAATTTAAAAAAAAAATTCAAATGCAATTACAATAAAATAAATATATTGTTTCTAATAGCAGATGGAAAGTTTAATTAAATTCACTCAAAAAGCCAATCATTGAATTTATCAATTGATATCAAATATCTTCAAATAATTAAAAGTTAAAGTAATAATTTTGAACTAATGAAATCATAAATAAATTTATTTGAACTTTTTAAAACAGGTGACAAATGAGCATATCATTTTAATTATTTGATATTACCAAATTCCCTGGCAGATTTATTCGATAACCAATTGATAATTTTCGCAGGTAATTGTTCGAGAATGCGCAGGTGATTCACATGAAAAATCAATGAAAAATATGATTACTTTATTGATCATACCTTAAGTGAAAAACATGTTATCAATATTATCAGTGATAAATACGAGTTGATAAAAAGTGCCAATTTAAAAATCATCAAAAATTAATCCTACCATTGATACTATCATTCTTCCTTGATTTGTTGACAATTACCTTTACATTCGCCAAAAACAAAAAAAAAAAAAAAATTGAGAACTTATTTCACAAATATTTATAAATTAAAATGGAAAATATTTTATCTTTTATTAAACCTTCTTCTATGACATTATAAAATTATCATATCAATTGAATGTAACATTTTTATATCATACAATGAATGACCAGAAAAAAATCGTTATCAAAATTATCAAATAGTATAATTAATATTGTTGTCATCAACATTCCTCTTTTCACACCTATCATTCTACAATACCTTTTTGAATTCAACGATCATTATCATTATCATTATTACCATCATCATTATCACCATTATCGCCATTGTATTATCATCATCATCATCACCATCACTCATCAGCATCATCACTATGATCATTGTCATCATCATCGTCAGCAACAGCAGCAGCAATAATAATATCATCATTACTATCATCGCTGTATCATTATTATTCAGCATCAACAATATTATCACTATCAGCAACATTATATTATTATGTTATTATTGTTATTATCACTCATTACTTATTATTATTATTATTATTATCACCGCTATCATTTTATTATTATTATTTATTCACATTATTTTTGTTATTTTATTCCTACTGTTATTTTATAATATCATTATTCTATTCCTACTGTTATTTTATATGTTATTATTTTATTATTATTTTTACCATTACTATTATCATTATCAGCTAGTATCATTATTATCATTGTTATCATTACATCATAAAGTCCCTACTGATCACTTACAGCTCGAGAACATATGCAAATTATGGCATTTATTTGACAAATTGAGGTTTGCTTCTGCTACTTACTGCTTACAATTTGCGCAATTTGCGCACAAATTTATTTTAAACTTAGATGTGACAAACGATTTTGATGACCGCTAGAAATGGACGGTAGGGTAAAGTGCTTTTTTGTTTTGACCTTTTCTTGTTTGACCATCTTGTTGATCAGTGCATCTGATTGTAATTTCTTTCGTTTTAATTCCATATTAAATACATCCAAAAACTGAAAAATTAACAATGAAGCGCAATTATATATGATATGAGCGCTATTGTCCAGTAAATGGTATTCAAAAAAGTTAAAAAATTTTTTCTTTTCAAATGTTGATGATAAAATTTTAAATTCTGTTAACTAGATGTCCTATTGAATTGTACTTTCTAATTTGTCTTTATAAGCCCATCTGCTATTCATTGTTTATAAATTTGAGAAATTTCTGATCGAATTGAAAAATGTCAAAAGAATTATGAATTTTCTTAAAATGATGATATATCATTTATGAAAACTTTTTTTTTTTTTTTGAGAAAAAGGGCAAAAATTAAAATTTCAACCATTAATTTATTTTTGTATATTAGAAAAGAGAAAAAAATTTTTTGATTTAAATTTTGTCAATTTTTTTTTTTAAATATATATTAATTATAAATGAAAATAAATAAAATTATTAATTAATAAAGAAAAAAAAAAGAGAGACTTACTGGATTATATAGAAAATTTGTTATCAAACAATTATTGTTGATTGTATTTGTTTTCATCAATTTCATTTCATCATTACAACATTTGCTGATACTTTTACCGCATACTCTTTAAGCATATGCTTATATCATTTTAAATTTAATAATGTCTAAAAATAAAAAATTAAAATTAAATGATATCATTTAAATTAGTTTTACAAAAAAAAAAAGTTTTAAAAAAATACCTTAAATGAGGTAAAGTTCGTGCCCATAAACGACATTCAGCTTCAACTTCATCATCTGACATTGGTTCACCTTCATAAATTGATTTTTCTGCTCGTAGCAAAAAATGTTCCTTCACTTTACAATTATCATTTGATAAATGATAATTTTGCAAGAAAATAGGCCTTCGATAATGATTCGTCTTTTCTTTAACATTTTTCCTACTACAATTAATCGAAATACGTGACGTGTGATACATTGTTGACGTGGTATACGTCGAAATGACGCCTTTAATGCATTACCATGGTAACGCGCATTATGATATTGAGATTGAATTTGAATTGTTAGCTAACAATGATTAGTAATTATTATAAATTAAATTTATAAATGATTATTTTTTCAAATTCTTTTAGCAAACAACAATTATTATCATTACTGATAAAAAAGATTTCTTTGAAAAAATTATCAACAAAATGTTTGAAATTCATTTTTCTTTATTATATTGGAAATTATATTTTTAGATTGAATTTGAATTATTAGCTAACAGTGATTAGTAATTATTATAAATTAAAATTATAAATGATTATTTTTTCAAATTCTTTTAGCAAACAACAACTATTATCATTACTGATAAAAAAGATTTCTTTGAAAAAATGATCAACAAAATGTTTGAAATTTATTTTTCTTTATTATATTGGAAATTATATTTTTAGATTGAATTTGAATTGTTAGCTAACAATGATTAGTAATTATTATAAATTACAATTATAAATGATTATTTTTTCAAATTCTTTTAGCAAACAACAACTATTATCATTACTGATAAAAAAGATTTCTTTGAAAAAATTATCAACAAAATGTTTGAAATTCATTTTTCTTTATTATATTGGATATATTGGAAATTATATTTTCTTTTTCTTATTGAAAAAGAAAAAATTATTTTACTTTTAAAAAAAATTGAAAAAAAAAAGTGCAACAATTTTTTGCTTTTTCTTTTTTGTATTTATTAGTATAGTTGAACTTATCAATTTATGAATAATATGATAAATTTTTCAAATTGAAAAAATATTTCAGCCACAAAAAAAAAAAATTCTATAATTTTAAATTTATTTTTGTTAGATTTCAATTAAAACAAAATGATTTGATCAGAATTTGATAATAAATGCAATGAATAATATAGCAATCAATAAGCAGATGAGACTGCTAAGGTGAGATGTCAAAGGTCAAGTGGATGACAAATGATCCTTTCTACAGGTCAAGTCAACATTCGATCCTACTGCCATAACTAAATCTTATTGTTTCTCGATTATACTATCATTTCTTCCAGATATTTTCATGGCTTTTTTCATTATCATGGTATTTCTTTCTTTCTTTCAAAATTTTTTTTTTTCATTTAAATTTTAAAACATTTAATTAATTCTTTAAATCATTGAAAATTATTAATTTCAATGTAAAGCACAATATTGAACATTGAAATTTTTAATCGTATAAACAAAATTAATTTTATAAAAAATTGAATTTTACAAAAAATTTATAAATTATAATAATAGTTTAATCATTTATTCACTTATTACTTATATTTAAATTGCAAAAAAAAATTTATGAGCAAAAAAATTTTTACAAATTTTTATAAATTACTTTTTTTTTTTCTTTTCATCAAAATTTTTGCATCCTAATTTTATCAATAAATTATTGTTGTATGATTTTATCATTTTCACTTATCATTGATAAAATGTTTATCATCGTTTGCCATAGATTTTGCTATTTTCAACATTTGATAACACAAATGAATGCTTACCAAAACCGGATATTATCGAAAAGAAAACATCAGTCAATATGGGATTAGCGGAAGCAGTAAATTCAGTTGGTATGTTTATGTTTACTCATAAATAATTTTATTTTTCATAATAATTACAAACATTTGATAATTTAGTAATGTTTATAACATGTTATCTAAGATATTTTTCATTTATATTAATTATTTGTTAATTAATATAATCTATTAATTAATATAAAATTGATAAATAATATAAAAATTATAATATACTGCAGGGAATATTGTGAAAAAATTAGTTAATGTCACTGAATTAGTTGGTAAAGTGGAAAATATTATGAGTGATACCATTTATAATGCTAGCCATATTTCAAAAATTAATGAAACTGTGCAAATGGATGAAAGTATTGTCGAAAAAGTTTCTAAGGTTAGCTTTGCATATAATATTTTAAATTGCTATAATTTTTATGTAAAATTTGATCAATTAATAATTTAATTAAGATTTGAAAATTTAATTAAATAAGGATTTGAAAATTAAGATTTGAAAATTTAATTAAATAAAGATTTGAAATTAAGATTTGAAAATTTAATTAATTCATTCTCAATGATATTCATCATCCTATTCATAAGAAGATTATAATTTATAATAATCTCTGAATAATATTGAAGATTAAAATGATTAATGATTACATTATATGAATTTGTTGAATTAAAAATAAAAAAAATTACCATTCATTATAGAAATGTCACATATCAGAAGAATGTGACAAATTGTGGAAGCATTTCTTTGGAAAATGTGGATGTCAATAAATATGAAATTAAAATTATAAATTTAATACTTATGACCTTATAGTATCTAAATTTTTAAATACTAATTAAATGTAATTTTTTACCAGAAATGCTAATTAATGTTAAATGAAATTGAAAAAAGCCTGTAAAGTTTTATTATATCACAGTAAATTTACTTGTAAATACCGCTAAGTATATGTGGTATTTACTTGTTAAAAATTGTACAAAAAATGAAGAAAATTTTTGTTTTTTTTTTAAATGATCAACTTTAAAACAATTTTGACAAATTATTTTTTGTTAATTTGTTTGTTAATTGATATCAATTTTGCAAGAAATTCATAAATTAATTGTTGCTTACTATTTGTTGTTTTTTAGTTATGCAATTTAATCCATATTTTAAAATGTATGATTGGAATAATTATCAATTAATTTATGCTCAAATTTTTGTTGTTGCTGTTGTTTATTCATTGAGAATGTAATCGATAAAAGATTTTTTAATTTGTTATTAGTTTTATTTAAAAAAATTTTTCACATAAAATCCCAGCAGGTGGTCCAAATGATTCTGTGAAAAAGTTCGTTTATTGTGAATTGAGTTAAATAAATGAAGTGAATTCATTAATTAATTCAGAATTACTGCAATTTTTTACAGCATAATTGCTGATTACTTGTTGTTTAAATATTTCGATGTATTGACGCATTAAAACAAATCCTGAAAAGTTCTACTACTAACAGTTAAATAATAATGATAATGATAATAACAATAATAGAAATAGTAATAATAACAATAATAATAATGGAAGTGGTGGTAATAATAATGATAATAATAATAGAAGTGGTAATAATAATGATAATAATAATAATAGGAGTGGTAATAATAATGATAATAATAATAATAATAATAATAATAATAATAATAATAATAATAGAAGTAATAATAATGATAATAATAATAATAATAATAATAATAATAGATGGTAATAATAATGATAATAATAATAATAATAATAATAATAATAGAAGTGGTAATAATAATGATAATAATAATAATAATAATAATAATAATAATAATAATAATAATAATAATAATAATAGAAGTGGTAATAATAATGATAATAATAAAATAATAATAATAAAATAATAATAATAATAATAATAATGTAACAAACATATAAGTAAATAAATAAATTAATTAAAATAGGATTAATAATAAATAACGATAAAAGCGGTGAAGAGAGAATAATAATGATGCAAAATTTTGCTTGAAAATAAGCTGGTAAATAATAGTAATAATAATAAATATATAAATGAATAAATAAATAAAATGGAATAAATAAAAAGAACAAACAAATATATAAATAAATAAAATAAAATGCCTTTCAATAAAAAATTTTAACAGATATCTGAAAAAAAAACGAAAAATAAACTTTGTTTTTTTGATTCCCAAATGATTTTAACATTATCGTTGTCATATTCTATCAAATATGATGGTGTTGAATGAATAATCAATGGTATTAACATTGATATCAATCGTTTTATAAATGATAATTCTTCGTTTGATTTATTATATTCTATACCCATTATTGCTTCTTTATATCCAATACCCTTTAATTTTTTTGTTAATTTATTATCTTTTAAATTTATAAATATAATCAAAAAATAAACAAATAAAATAAAAATGTGAATCATATCTTAATTGCAAAATTTTAACTTTATCATGTAAAGGTTTTTTTTTTTTTAAATTTTATTATTGTTTCATTTGAAATAAAAATTTGTTCAATTGACAAAACTTATTTATTAATTATAGAAAATTTGAACTAACTTTCATATAATTTTCAAGTGTTTTTGGGAGTGCGTATGCTGGAAAAGAATGTAACGGTGATTTCATTATTTGTTCGTTTGTTGTTTCATCTAAATTTTGCAAATTTTAAAACAAATTTTTTTTTTCATTTATATTAATAATGACTTTTATAAGCATTCGTTAATTTTATTAATAATAAATTGCGTACTTTTTATAGCGCATTTTTTTGGAATTATTCTCACAAATTTATCAACATCTGCAAATAGAAATGAAGGAGAAAGAATTTTAGGATTAATTAGTACTAATTAGCAAAACAATTTCAACCAGATTTATCTTATCATCAATGATTAAAATGCATTTCAAAGAATTACTTCCCTGTTCAAAATTTTTTCATATTATCATTATCACAACTGATTCTCTTTCACATCATTTAAAATTTTAATACACACTTTCTTTTTTGATTTTAATTCATTGTTTAATCTCTTTTCATAATCATTATGGAATCGAAATTAAATTTTTGCATTGTTTGAATTATAATTGAAATTACTGATAATTAATTTCAATGTCGCATTGTGTATGGTGCAATCATCGACACGAATTCGAATTTTTTTGCGTCTATTACAAGGCAAAATTCCAGCATTACTTGAAACTTCAACGTAAGACATATATTTTTTCAAGCATAAACACGATAATTTATAATTAATAGCATCATCGGATCCTATAATACCCGATAATGCAAATTAATTAATAATCTAATTAATTAACAGTTTAATTATTCACGAAACAAATTTTCATAATTTAAATTCGTTCAACTTTGTTTCTCGCCAAAAAATTAACCTTACTGATTCGTAACAATATTAATTATTGATGATGAATTAATGATGAATGATGATTTAGATGTTATAGTTAGCATCTTTTAAGTAGTCAATAATTTTAGTAGTTACAACAAATTTTTTCTTGAAAAAAAATCAATAAAGAAATATTGATTACCCGTTTAAAGTTTCCCTAATAGTATTTTATAATTTTCAATCCAAAAAAAAAAATCTTGCATAAATAGAATTTCAATTAGAAAAATGAAAACTAAAACTTAAATTTAATAAAGGATAGATTTTATGCTATTTATGCTAACCAAATCATGGAAATCAAAAATAACAAACATAAAATAACATTTTTACAGTACCTTTCTGTAAAAATACCATACGATTTGCATCATCGGTTGAAAATGAATTCCAGGTTGTTGCTTGTATATTGTAATCGGCATCATACAGTATCAGACCTGTATGATAAAATGTAGCACATTAAATTGATTACTACAACCCGCATAATACAGTACCACGCTTATACTGTAGATTACAGTACATCGAAATGGCTACTGTAGTCATCTGCATGTGGTAACAGAGCTATACGGTAGAAGACAATATACTAAGCTTAATGCTGTAATCGGTAACATGCTATATCACGTTTATACGGTAGATTACAGCATCTTAAATTGATCACTGTGATCGGTATCATACGGTGCTGCACATATACAGTACATTACAGTATGTTAAATCGACTACTGTAATCGCTAACATACTGTATCACGCTTATACGGTAGATCGCAGCACATTAAACTGATTATTGTAATCGTATTACAGGTAGATTACAGTAAATTAGATTGATTGTTTCATTCATCAACTTGAAATAAGAGATAAATCAAAACAATTAGCTCTTTCTTAATAGATAAAATGAGAAATGGCTGAATTTTGAAATGTTATTGCAATTTTTCTCACTACAACATCAAATCAACTATGAGTTTCATTTAATATCAAATAAATATATGCCTCAGCTGAAACATTTAAATTTAGCCAAATAATCTCACAGTATTTTTAATGAATTTGTTAGTTTATCTTTGCAATTTCTTACTGAATAGAAAAAAGAAAGAATGCCAGGAAGATTCCATTTCACTAACTAAATTTTAGAATGTTTTCGAGAGTTCAAAAAATTTTATAGAACTTTTTAATTACACCTAATAAACTAACTTGTAAACTTTAAGCTTAGGTGTAAATTACCTTTAAATGATTCAATTTTGGCACAGATTTTTAAAAAAAAAAAAAAAAACTAACTTTCATTCTTTATTTCAATGAAAAACTCTCCGGTCCAGTAATTTTTATTTGCTTTTTGATGAATATGAATTATAAGAAATGATGGATTTTGCTCCCCAAATTGACATACCATTTCTTGGACAACAGCAACTGTTCCGGATTACTTCATTAATTCTCGAAATTTATAAATCCTATTCAATTTCTATCAAAAATATGTGTATGTAATGTACATATCTGTGTTTTCTTTTGAATTCTTAACTTTTTTTCCGTTTTTTGTATGTTTTTGTATTTTTCAAAGTTTTTCTTTTTTTAAATTATTTTGAAAAAAATTTAACTTTCAAATCACATATTCAGAAAGTATTGCTTAAATAGTTTCTGAAATACAAATCGTTAAACTATTATCAGACGAAATATGTGAGAAAACATAATTTAAGAAGACAAGAAAATCTAAAAAAAAAAGAAGAAATAATGTAATACACCGTGCACAGTAGTAATGAGGAATGAAATGAATTAAAGTAATGATAAATAATAGTATCATATCATATGCTTTTTATCACAAATATTTCATTTATTCAAATATTTGAGCAAAAAATTTTTATTTGTAATATTTTAAAAGCAAAAATGAAATTTGGTTAATAATTTGTTAATGTTTTTCTTTTTTTTTATTGGAAGAATATAAGAAGTATTAGAGATGTATCATTTATTCAAATCTTTGAGAGAAAAGTCTCCACTGATAAATGCATGCGTGCATAATGCATGCTGCATGCATACTGCATGCTTGTACTGATTTTTCTGTGACTGATAATTTTTCACTAAATGTATTAGCCAGAACAGAAATCATTACTTATCAAAGCAGAAATTAGGGTCCGTTATCACTTATCAAAGCAGAAATCATGATTTGTTATCATTCATCAAAGCAGAAATCATGATTCGTTATCACTTATCAAAGCAGAAGTCATGATTCGTTATCATTCATCAAAGCAGAAATCATGATTTGTTATCATCCATCAAAGCAGAAATCATGATTCGTTATCACTTATCAAAGCAGAAACCATGATTTGTTATCAGTTATCAAAGCAGAAATCATGATTCGTTATCACTTATCAAAGCAGAAGCCATGATTTGTTATCAATTATCAA